TCCGTGGCGTTCTGCCCTTGCTTCTTTGATACACTGGTTTACATGTGGACAAAATTTACACTTTTATGGAATTTTTTTTTAATTTTTTTAAGTTTTTTTAATAATTTGTAAAGAATTATCCAAGATATCAAAATTTTATCCTATTTTCTTAATCCAGAGATTAAACGATTGAATGTGTGAGCTACCGGGTTGATATTAACAAACGATATTGTCGAGAGTGACAAGATGAGCGTAACAGAGCACGGTAAATTATCTAGGTCAAATATAACGTATAAGGTCGTTAAGTGCATACTATTCATGACCATGACCGATGAATTATTGATCTCGTGAGAGTGTTTGACCTACCTAATTAAAACGACAAAACGCCCTTGCTCGCTCTAATACTCCATAACCCAATGGATAAATAACAATGTTTAATATTAAAATCTATTAACTTCGACAAACAAGAAACTTCATATAATCTCTTTTCCTCTCTTTTTCTCATGTTAATAATAATTATTTTAAAATATTTTAAAAAGTAAAATATTGAATTTTTGTAATTTTTTTACTAGTTGAATATTACAAAAATTTAAATTCCAACGAGAGCCACTCAAATATAGTTCATAACCCAACCTAATCATGACGCCACTCCAATAGAGTTCATAACCCAACCTAACCCCACTCCAATAGAGTTCATAACCCAACCTAACCGTGGAGCCATTCAAATAGAGTTTATAACCCAACCTAGCCCTCTATTTTCGAGTTGAGTTTTTTTATTTTTTTTAATTATTTAAAAAATTGTATTTATCCACGTCTACAGATAGAAAAAAATATATATCATAATCAAGAGTGTGTATCGAACCCCCGCCCTCTCGCTAGAAATGGACAGAACCTAGGCCATTATAATAAATTACATTAATGGATTAATCAAATTAAAATACCAAATTAATTTGGAATGATATTTTCGGATTCCCATTCACAACTCCTCCATCGGCAACAGAGCTAGAAACTGCGCGATGTTGCAGGCTTCCATTAACCCGATCCGATCGCCGCCTCCGGCGTTCCATTACAAGACAGCAGGACTCGCACTCCCTTCATCACTTTCCTGCACCATCAGCCGGCCGTCGCCGACATCGTTACGTCTGCGATCATCCTCAGTAACGAGAACCTCCATCTCTTCTTCATTTCAACTCAAAGCCGGAAAAGGGTACTTTCATCAAATAATTCTTAATATCTTCTTCCCAATTAGCATTCTATGTCAAGATCTTTGATATATTGTTCTCTCCTATGGCTTCTGCTTGCTCCACATTACTGGACCTTCGCGCATTTTGACCCCACGTCCCCTCTCTCGAGGAAAATCTAATTGATTATGATTTTAGATGAACGAATTGGCTTTTGTACTGATAATAGTTTTATTTATTTACTCGTGTTTGGAATTCGAGTGGAGTGTTGATTTGTTTATATATATTGCATCGGGTTCTTCAATTAGGGATTGGTTCTTTCGATGTTTCTCCTTTTGCATTGCGATTGTTGTTTCTGTTTAAATTACCCTGATGTAATGCCTAGTTCTTGCTGAAAGATGTAAAAGATTGAATACCTTAGCCATTACAGGATGGATGGCTTCCTAGATGTTGAGCTCAAAGTTCGTGATTATGAGCTGGATCAGTTTGGGGTTGTCAACAATGCTGTTTATGCGAGTTATTGCCAACATGGTAAAATCAAGAAGTTTGTATATGCTAAGTGATGTGTGTATGAATTAGGAATTTATTTGTCCTCACTAGGGGTTTCTGTTTCTACCTTCTCTAGAAGTTTGTAGATTGTTTGAAAACGAAATGTGGAGCCTTCACCACTGCAAATGTTGGTGTTTGTTTATGTCCAATGGGTCCAGAATTTCTGTTCAAAAGAGCATTGATATGGTTGATTCACGTACTCATAAGCATTTTATTTCATATTGTCCTCTTTTGGCTTTTCCTTTCGGGTTTCCGCTCAAGGTTTTGTAAACGCATCTGCTAGGGAGAGGTTTCCACACCCTTATAAAGAATGCTTTGTTCTTCTCCCCAATCGATGTGGGATCTCATAATCCACCTCTCTTCGAGGCCAGTATCCTTGCTGGCACTCGTTCCCTTCTCCAATCGATGTGGGTCCCTCCAATCCACCCCCTTCAGGATCTAGCGTCTTGCTGGCACACCACCTCATGTCCACCTCCCTTCAGGGCTCAGCCTCCTTGCTGGCATATCGCCCGATGTCTGGCTCTAGTACCATTTTGTGATAGCTGAAACTCACCGCTAGCATATATTGTCTTCTTTGGACTTTCCATTTCGGGTTTTCCCTCAAAGTTTTCAAAACGCAACAATTCTTCGTTCTCCTCCCCAACCGATCTTAGTACTTGACGGACAGAATGCTGTTTGGAAACACTAGAAGTTACTCTTTTCTGTTTATTGCTTAAGTCAACATGAAGTTGTCTTGTTAACTCCATTTGAAGTATACTACCCTCTCTTCTTGATAGTCTAAACTATTGTTGACAAGCCTAAACTTTGGGGGGCATTAGTCTCGAAGAAGTAAAATATTGGACTCGAACGGGTGCTCGTAAATGATTTTGTGGTAGCCTCTGAACTTTGAAGTGTTTCTCGACCTAGATTGAGTTACGAAACAGATAGAAGAACTTTTTCACCACCAAGATTTTGAATCATTGATCAGTTGTAGCTCGATTTCTCGAATCTCATGTTATAAATCACATTATAATTGCTTTTCAAGACTTTTAATCAAAATCTTAATCAGGTCGTCATGAACTGCTGGAAAGCATAGGCCTCAGTCCTGATGAAGTTGCTCGTGATGGCGATGCATTAGCTTTATCAGAATTGTCTTTGAAGTTCCTTGCACCACTTAAAGTATGATGCAATTTGTTGGTACAACTGATGATTGATTACATACTTCACTTAATATCTTACTACTTATGCTACCTTGATGCATCCAACTAGAGCGGAGACAGATTTGTTCTTAAGGTAAGGATCTCGGGGATGTCGGCTGCTCACTTCTACATCGATCATTTCATTTTCAAGCTTCCAAACATGGAGGTAAGCAATGCAACCATTAATTTTGATATCAGTTTATTTACCTTGTCTGGATGCCTAGAACTTCATAACCCATTTCCTGTCCTGTTTTCTTTCCCTAGCCAATCTTGGAGGCAAAGGGTACAGCAGTTTGGCTCAACAAAAGCTATCGTCCAGTGCGTATCCCACACGAATTTCTATCCAAGTTTGCTCAGTTCGTTCGGGATCATGACTCGAAGTGATCGAGTTTGGGGCGATATCGTTGAGGTATTTTGCTTTTGCCTATCTCAGAGAGAATACAATGAAGCAAATATCTGATTCATATACTAAATGCATAGCTATGAATTCTTGCTTTCACATGTACTCAGACCACTGCTACTCAAATAGCATCTTTACACAACATGAATATCAGCCTGATTCACATAGGTGTATGTCATTTGATGAGGACGACCTTACTATTATATCGTTCGAACATTTGTGTCCTTTGAATTCTAAATCATATCCTTTGACGACTTATACACTGATGAGGGGTGTGTCGTTGAAATTTGAGCTTCTAGTTATATCATATTCACCCGAGAGATTGTGTATCTCTTATAGTTATGAGATATTTGTATAATTCATGAGTTAGCAAACGAGAATAAATGATATCTATTACTCAGTTTGAAGGGTGTGTCGCGAAGTGTATTGGTATAATCCTGGCTCCTTAATCTTCGTCTCTTTGTCTCATTATTCAACTTTAATAAATTAAACCAAACTAATTGATCGATTAAATTTTTACCCTAACTTTTACTTTCGTCAAAATATTGCACTCTTAATCTTAAACTTATAATGTTTTTTAAGTAGATTTATTGAAATTTTGATAAATTTTTTAAAAAATATTGACATTATTGAAATTAGTAAATTCATGAATTTATTAAAATTGATTATTCCATTAAATTATACATTTATTATGATAAATTAATTGTTGAAAAGTTTATTAATTAATGCATCATAATTATATAAAATTTCTAAAATATCATTAATTATTTCCAACAATTTTATTATTCGATTTATTTGGAATTAACATTTTAAATTCGTCCTCGATTTTAAAAAATAATTTAATTTTTTTTTAATCCAAGTATGATCGGTAGTTAAGTAAATAAAGGCAATTTTAAAAAATAAAAATTTATTTATATGGATGAAAAGATAATGGGATGATAATAGCATAATTAATATCAATTAATTTGTATTTATTACTTTTAATCAGCCTTAATGAATTTTAATTACAAACTTTATGTGATAAATATTTTGTTTAATGTAAATTTTTTAAATTCAATCATTTAAAATTCTAAATTATTTATTTTTTTCAGATTATATAAATGAATCAGCTTATTTATTTATTTAAATTATTTGTTTAATAATTATATTTAATATTAATATTTGTTTAATTATTTCTCACCAAATAAATGATTTTTTTGCTCAATAATACATGGATAGAGATTTGGTAATAGGTTATGTAGTGATTTAATTAGTAATAAATGATTTCTTTTATGATTGCATATAAATGGAATTATTTAATATTAATATTACTTTGAATTAATATCTTAATATAGAGACAAAAAAAACACATGTATTTATTTATTTTTTAATATTTTTATTTTAAGCTTTGATTTTAATTAATAATAATAATATATTAAATGTCTCTGACGATAAATAACACTAATTTTATTTTATTTTTATCGATAATAATTAATTTAGTTGTTAAACAAAACTGAAAGATAATTCTATTTCAAAGGTCGGAGGTTCGAATTTCCACCACTGAGTCGTGAGAGTGAAGATTTGAATCGCTAACCCGAACAAAAAAATTGATAAATGTCTCCAGTCTCGTTAATGAAGAGTGATAAATGCAAAAGGCAATGTCTCCATTAATATTATTGATCACTAACGCTCCAAAGAATGTGAATTGTGTCAAAATGTTGCACGTTTTCGTCAATACGATTCAAATTTCAGCTACCACTAATCCCAAACTCAAACTCCGAGTCCCTTTGCCTCTTTTTTGTAACGTCTCTCGCCTATCGACATTGGCTATGACAACTCCCAAATGCTCTCCCCCACGAACATTTGATCTCAATACTAACCCTACTATTCAACCTAGCCCCTATCGAATGGATGGGTTCGTAGACTATGAGATGAAAGTTCGTGGTTATGAGTTGGATCAGTACGGTGTCGTCAATAATGCTGTTTATTCTTATTATTGTTACTACGGTGAGAATCATATAAATTATCTGTTGAGTTATGTTTAAATTGATATATATATATATATATATATATATATTTACGAAAACAACATTAATGAAATTAACATTTTAATTAAGCAGCTGAGCACGAATGGTTAAATAGTATAGGTGTGAGTCTTGATGTAATTACCAGTGACGGGGAGTCGTTAGCTCTATCAGAGATGTCTTTGAAGTTCCTTTCGTCACTTAGAGTATGAACCACTTGGTGATCCTTATAGCAATAATAATTCAGTTATGAGTAGCGTTTTCCTACAAATAATCCGTTTCAATTGCAAACAGAGCGGAGATCGATTTGTTCTTAAGATGAGGTTTTTGGACATCTCAAAAGCTCGGATCTACCTCGAGCACAAAATTTTCAAGCTACCAAATATGGAGGTTAGTACATTTCCTACTCACGTTTCGTGTATATCTATCTAAACGTCTCTAGCATTTTTGTCGTCTACTTGGAACAAGCTCGACATGTTAAATAAACGTCTCTTACTTTAATTGATCTTATTTTTGTATGTGTAGGCAATCTTAGAGGCACAGGTGACGGGAGTTTGGCTTAGCAAAAATCTTCGTCCAATGCGGATCCCACAAAAATATTTATCCAAATTTGCTCAATTTATTCATGATCATAATCAATCTAACAGATCAACGGTCGGGATTAAAGACGATGACAAAGATGGAGCCAACATACAGCACGAATAACTCTTTATTTATTTATTTTATTTTATTTATCTTGCGTGGAGAACTAAAATTCTAAGTGAAAGATGAACTCCGTATCTTTGTATTAAGTTATTGGTAATAATTGTTATGGATTGACAAGTAGCATATCATGTTCGTCTTGGCCATAGTCAACTTCTCCTAACGCCTCTTTCAAAATCTCTCTTTCGAAAATTTCTCTCTGCTCGGTTTTCTAAAACCTTCTTCTTAAACCGAGGTCAAAGGCTTGAGCATACGTCGTTTGGCCGTAGGCGACGTGAGAACGAATTGACTTAGCTCATTTTTGTTGCTGGAGAGTGAGTGTCGCACAATTGCAAGTCCGCTGCCATCAAAAGTGCTATTGTGACAAAATCTTACAATTTTAAAACATGTATGTCTATTACGGAGAGGTTTCCACACTTTTACTTCGTTCCTCTCTCGAATTCAACGGAGATAGTCTGAGCAGGGACGAAAGTCGGCCTTAGTGATCCGACGGTGCCGAGTGGAAGGACCGTCGCTCAACAGATAAAAGTTACTGTAGAGATAACAGACTAAGAAGAACGCCCATGTTGTGGCAATTCTACCCAGAAGGTAATGCAAGAACAAACAATTTTTGTTAGAAACATTCCTCTAACGAATTTCTTGGGAATTTCTATAGTAAATAGACTATATAGAATCGTGATCAGTCAAATATTGCAAAGCCTCGTATCTATTATCATCGGTCGACTATAACTGAATTTCGGTCTATACTAGCACCATAATATCTTATTGGATCCTTGATCCTTGCTCTTTGCTCTTGGGTCAGAGTTGGGCACAATCCGAGGGAACCCACCATCAACTTTCTCAATTGAAGCTGAATTTTACGGTAGGACGCTCAATTCACTTTCTGGGGTTTCACAGTTCTTCCTCTTCCACCCTTTGCAGAAATGGCTGAAGCAAAGAGATCAAACCCTGATGTGGAGAAGAGGGTGATGGTGGCCGTAGACGAGAGTGAGTGTAGCTACTATGCCCTAATCTGGGTACTGGAAAATCTTAAACAATCCATTGCCGACTCGCCTCTTTTCATCTTCACGGCTCTACCTCCGCGCACCAGTTATACCTCCGGTGCCGGTGCCTCTCTCGGCCTCGCGCGATCGTGTTTCCCTGTCGCATCCAGTTAAGCATTGCTAATTTTTAGTTTTATTCAAACACTTTCAGTTTAAGCCATGATTTGTGTAGTTTAATCGCAAGCGATTCATAGATAACGATGACTCCTTTATCATTCCGTTTATCATAGCCATGATTTGTGTAATTTGTCGCCGCATATGAAGTCAATAATCGCAAGCATTGCTAAATGATGAATTGAAATAATCCCATTTCCGTTTTGTTAATGGGATCTTTAGATCTTTTAATCGGTGGAGTTTTCTTTCTTGTTCGAAGAAGTTTGTCTGTGTCTGCTAGATTGATTAAGAAAAAGGCATTGATTCAGAGTGAACTTGGTTGTGCACAACAGATACCGAGTTGGCTCATACGCTTCAAGAGAATGATAAGAAAGTTAGATGCGGCATCCTAGAGAAAGCAAAAGATATCTGTGCTGAAAGAGGGGTATGAATGTTCATATTTGAAGAAGAATTGTGTTGAATGTTTATTTCTTGATGGCATAAATTATATGCTGAATGATATTAGGAACATAAAGTTGTTGCTATTATCAATATCTGCAGGTGGCTGCGATATCCATCACAGAGGTTGGGGATCCTGGAAGGACGATATGTGATACGGTTGAAAAGCTCAATATAAATTTGCTTGTTTTGGGTGATCATGGCATTGGGAGAATTAAGAGGTTGTTCTTCATTTTCTTTCTTACACAACCAGTAGTGCTCAGGAGAAGAGTTTTTGTCTAAATTTGCTTTTACAATGCCGTTGATATCAGCGTCTCGAATTTGTTGATGTTGTTTTGTTATGAACAATTCTCATTTGGTGCAAGAACACGCGCGAACTAACGAGTTTGCAAGCTCGTGTTCTTGCTTCTTGTTTGTTGCAGAGTGTCTATCGACTTATATGAATAGATTTACATGTTCTTGCTTTCCAATCTCGCTACCTAATCATTTTTGTTTTCCGGTATCATTACGTATTGTGGGTTTATGTTCTGGATGCTGATGAAATTAATATATATCTCATACAGAGCTCTGATCGGGAGTGTGAGCAACTACTGTGTTCAAAATGCCAAGTGCCCTGTCCTTGTCGTGAAGAAACCATAGGAATATGAGGTGTGCTGCGTTTCCCACTAATATTTTGTTGCTTAGGAGTATCTTCCAAATGTTAGCTTTGTACTATTGTTTGCATGACTAACTTGTTTTACCGAGTTTCGATCGCATGACTTGTAATAAAAGATATTACTATTGTGTACTTAACGTCGTAATTTACAAATTTATGGTTGTAAGAAAGAGCTATCTTGGTTGTTCTAGAAAAAAATGTCATATTTTTGTTGCGTTTTGTGAGATCCCACATTGGTTGGAGAGGAGAACGAAGTATTCCTTATAAGGGTGTGGAAACCTCTCCCTAGCAAACACGTTTTAAAATCGTGCGGTTGACGACGATACGTAACGGGCCAAAGCGGACAATATATGCTAGCAATGGGCTTGGGGTGTTACAAATGGTATCAGAGTTAGACACCAAGGCGGTGTGCCAGTGAGGATGCTAGCCCCTAAGAGGGGTGGATTGTGAGATCCCACATTAGTTGGAGAGGGGAATGAAACATTTTTTTTATAAGGGTGTGGAAACCTCTTCCTAGCAGACGGGTTTTAAAACCGTGAGGTTGACGATAACGAGCCAAATCGAACAATATCTGCTAACGGTGGGCTTGGGCTATTACAAATGGTATTAGAGCCAAACACTAGGCGGTGTGTCAACAAGGATGTTGGCCCTTAAGGGTGGTGAATTGTGAGATCCCACATTGGTTGGAGAGGAGAACGAAACATTCCTTATAAGGGTGTGGAAACCTCTCCCTAGCATACGCATTTTAAAACCGTGGGGCTGACGGCGATACGTAACGGGCCAAAACAGATAATATCTGCTAGCAATGGGTTTGGGCTGTTACACATTTTATCCTTGAAAAGGGAAACGTGCTTTCAATTTGGCTCGTTTTCTCTCTTTTTGTACGGAGTGACAAATATAATTGGTAAGGAAGATGCTAAGCTCAAAGTGGCTGGGACTAGATAAAGAAACTAAAAAGAAGTAAATCAGTAAAGGAGAATGATATTCCGGGAAGAACTTTATTCATCTTATGATGCTAAGATTACAGAACCATAGTTATGGTAAGCTTTTCAGGACTAACTTGAAACTCAACTATTTCATGCAGGCCTTTCCTCAGAGTATAAACTTGAAGAAAATCTGTCAACCAAAGATGCTATTCAAAACAGCTGCTAATCTGACTCCGCCTTGTGCCAACCGCAGGTACACTACTGGCACTCGGGTCGAAAAATATTGCGCTGCACATATGTTTTTAAGTTAAAAAACTCTTCTGCCCTAAGAACAATTCAAACAAGCTTTGAATGTACCTGCTAGCGTAGCCCCTTCGGTTACGCCTTTGTATGCCCAGTCACATGCTGCTCGGATACTCTCTGATGCATAGCTGCATATTTCAATGGAAACTTAGGGTAAATTAGTGGAACTTTATGCTCTAAATTGAATGATCAACAGATTGTTTCTTTTGGCACATACATATCCGTGCATGCTATCTTCTTAGAGTTACACTTTTCCCATTCTTCAACTTCATCTGTCCATTCCTTCTGTTCAGAAACAGCAAAATGGTAGAAAAACGCATTAGAATTGCTACGAAACGATTAGAACCAAGCTTTAGACTATGTTTCTTGACCGTAATATTCGTTTGGATTGCATCGATCAGGCCATCCACACTCGAGTCGTAGAACTTTTCTTCTGCTGTCTCGATTATGTTGCTATCCCATATCTGTAAGAATCATAAGCAACTGTGTTTTATCATTGATGCAAAACTTGAACATGCCAGGACATACTGTTGAAGTTGGGTTATTATGTTTACATGGTGTAGATTTTGCTTTCTGGTGTACCAGTGAACTTCAATCGTGTTTCCTCCCTTGTCTTCAGCAAACCCAACATGAAGAGGCTGCATTTTATGTAAGCTCATCTTAGTAAATAATTGTACACAACATGTGGGTAAACTCCAAATCTTACCTGATGGATGTCTCCCATGAAATGTGATAGAAAAAGTAGTGCTTCAGTTAGGTTATCTGGTGATGGAAGTTTTAGCATATTAGCAAAATTGATCGATTCATCATTGTTCATTGGCGCTGTAACAGCCGAAGTCCATTGTTAGTAGATATTGTCCTCTTTGAGCTTTCCCTTTCGGATTTCCCCCTTAAGGTTTTTAAAACGTGTCTGCTAGATTGTGATTGTGAGACCCCACATCGATTGAAGAGAGGGACGAGTAGTAGTGAGGACACTAGGTCCTGAAGAGGGTGTATTATGAGATCCCATATCGATTGGAGAGGGGAACAAGTGCCAGTGAGGACGCTGGGTCCCGAAAGGGGGTGGATTGTGAGATCCCACATCGATTAGGGAGGAGAACGAAAGATTCTTTACGTTGGGAACCACGACTTTCCACAATGGTATGAGTCCATTTTGAACATAAGCTCTCGTGGTTTTGTTTTGGGTTTTCCCAAAAGGCCTTATATCAATGTGGGACTCCCCCCGAACAATTCTCAACACTTTTTAAGGGTGCGAAAACCTCTCCCTAGCAGACACGTTTTAAAAACTTTAAGGGGAAGCCCGAAAGGAAAAGCTCAAAGATGACAATATCTACCAGTAGTAGGTTTGGGCTGTTACAGGCACTAACTTCTCATTCTCTTGAAAATTACATTGAGACGAAGAAGACCGAGTTTTGTAGGTCAGAAGCTGGGAAGTATAGTTGTTAATGGCCCCTGCAACGCACCGACCTTCCACTCCATTTTCGTCTTTGCAGTCCCCTTTCGACCCAAACGACAAAAGTTCAGAACCAGAAAGGCGAGAGAAATTAGAACAACAGAGAGGGGATGGAAACAGAGTAACTCAACTGGCATATTGGTAAGTACAAAGGGATTCCGGAGTATTAACATAATGAAGAGCAGATGACCATCGATATCGAAACTTGATTCGATCAGCCCAAATACAAACGTTCGCCAATTCACCATTTGCATACTCAGGCAACAGTCGCTGCACTGCATCAGCTGCTGCTCTGCTCAACCGCGACTGTCGCAAGCAAAAACAAACATCAAATTCTTCATCAAAGAGGTAAAACATGGGGGAATTGGTTTCAATGAACGTGAAGATCAAGAACCTGAGCGATCTTGCAGATGGTAAAATGGCCATCGAGGCCCCAACCAAAGCTAACAGGAAAGATGAACACCAAGAACACTAGAAGACCCGCCATGAAAGCTCTGCAGGGCTTCATTTTTAGCTCCTGTTCTTGTTCTTCTGGTGATTTGATTCATTTTTGTATTTGAATCTGTGCTTAAATAGAGTGATGAATGCAAGAAATCTCAGAAAGTATGAACAGTTTCGAAAGGCATTCAATTTCGTTGTGCTCATATGAGATATGCCAAGTGCTCTGTCACGCTGAAGTAGTTAAGGTAAAGTTTTAAATTATGGAACCGTTTCCCTTTTGCTGTTTTCAATGTCATTTTTAATACATTTCTTAATTTGGTTTATTAAAATAAAAATCACAAAAAAGAAAAAAATAATAATTATTATCCAATTAATTAAAACATATAACGATTACCACGGTGGTAAATCTGGGAATACGCAAGTTATCTTAAAATATTCGAAATTTTTATTCTACCCAACTCAAACCGTTGACTTGGGTAGGTTCAGGTTGTTTGGTTGTCGGGTTCTAAATTATGGGACAGCAAAAGAATTGTCTGTTGTGCCATATGAGATAGGAAACTCTCAAATACGGTTCTTTACTTGCCTATTTCGAGCGGGGAGAACAGGTCATTCGACAAGGAAATTCTGAAATTGCGGAGGTTGGTTCAATCAAGCTGCTGAGTATTAGAAACAAGTTGTAACACTTACTCTCGGTAATTATATTGAAGCACAAAATTGGTTGAAGATCACTGGACGTTTCAAATAAGCAAATTCTGTTTTTTTTTTCTTTATTTTAATTATCGTTGCTGTTGAGTTAGATAGGTCTAGCCTCCAACATATGCTTTCTAACCTCATTTTAAGGCATATTATCTAACTCGCTAGATTATCATTTAATTTTTAAAAAATTAAAAAAAAAGTAATTTTAAAATTTAATTAATAATTCATATATGTTTTTTAACCATATGTTTAGGATTGAAAAACAAACATAAATTTTAAAAATTAAAAAACAAAATTCATCAATATTCATATTATATTAATTTATTTAATTAAAAATATGATTCCAAAAAGTGGCCGGTGTAATTCTTAAAATAAATAAATAAATAAATAAAAGTGGTCGGTATAAACATCTTGTATTAAATAAATGTTTATATGACGTCACCACACTCTGATAAATTTGACTTTTAATTTTGTGGAGTCATTAAAAATAAAAATAAAAAATAAAAGTCTTATTCAATTTCTATTATATTTTCATATATTTTATATATATTTTAAATAATTATTCAAACCCAAATTACAAAAATGGCCAATCTTTTAACGCACGAGTTAAATGGGTTGAATAACCAATTCTCACGTTTTTAATTCATAAGGAAAACACAAATCATCCTTTGCACGTGTATTATTGAGACCCGGTCTTCATAAACCCAACACGTGAACTATTAAAATATTACGAGGGCGGGCAATATAATGTAGAATTCAAAAAACGTCTTCCACTAATAGGTTACAGTGCATTAATAGAATCCGTGGCAGACAAAGAAGCTATGAGTTTTAAATGTGTAGTTAAAAGTGACTGAAGTGTTGGATAAATGGTGTACTTTGTTCGAGGGTTCTAGAGAAGGAGTCGAGCCTTGGTTAATGGGGAGATTGTTCGAGGACTCCATAGGGCTCAGGAGAGGCTCTATGATATACTTTGTTCAAGGGGGGGATTGTTGGAAAAGTAATCCCACATTGGCTAGTTTAGGTATACAGTCATAGTGTCAACTCTCTACCACCCCTGAGCACCATAGCCTAAGTGAGCAACCCCATGTCGCCATGCATGTGTTATGGTGTGGGCGAGTTTTACAATATGAGTGTCTTCGACGTCTTCCTTTAGAAATGATTTTTAAAAACAGTGTCGGCAGGAGTGTGCCAACCTTGCACCCCAACCCTTGAGTCGGAGATTAGTATATGGGGTAGTTCTTCGATATGATATCCAAAAATGACTTAGCATGTATATGCAATGATTCATGGCTCGATAATACCCAAATGGATGGATGTTCAGGATATCTCGATAATATAGTTGATTCATAGAGTCAATTCTCGATAAATGTGTCCGAGAACTAGCAAAGATGGATGAAATCTTAGAACTTGCAATGGTATCACGAGGTGTGGGTCATATTATAGAAAACTAAGATGATAAAGCGAGATGCGTTGTTGTGTTTGAAAGACTAGGCCTCTACCTAGAATCGAGGTAAGGTCGAGTCGAAGACTTGGCCTAATAGGCAAGTCAACTAGAGTCACAAGTAAGTAAGCATGCACGCACGTGTTTCACTGCACAAACTTGTTTCCGCATGAGTTGGGTTCGGTTGGTGAAGGAGAACATCACCTAAGATCCAATGAATAAGTAAAGCCGGACAAAATATTATAATGAGACTCGAATTTTTCTTAAGACTTGTCATGATCATACCTGGAAGTCATAACGTCCCACACATTTCATTGGGAAGGCGGTTAACCGCCTCCCTACAGAGTAACGTAATTGTATCGGAGCCAATGCATGATAGAATCATAGATTTAGTGGAAAAGACAAATTCGGAATGTATTTGTTGTCTTACCATTTATAAAATATTTAAAATTACATTGCTTGCTATATAAGATTGATATTTATTTGTTAATTATCATAATATATAACAGACCTCATTTAAAAATTAAAAATTAAAATTCATGATTATTTACCAACAATAATTGACCATGAATTTTCACTTAATTCATCACTAATTTTTTTATTAAAAAATATGTAAAATTATTCAATAAATTATAATATATATATATATTGAATTATTTTTTTAATATTAAAATTTTTAAAAGATTATAATATTATTATTTTTTAATATTATTTACCAACAATTATAATAATATTTACCCATAATTATTTTTTTTAGAATTATAATATAAAATTGAACAATAAAAATCTCAATACATTATGAGGTGCTCCTCCGAACACAGCACCGGCCACAAAGAACAAACTTCAAAAGTCAGGTACAATCCATCTCCACGTGTCAAAATCCCAGTGGTGGGTTAGTGAACCCCACAAATTTCTGACCGCACATTTTCTCCAGATGACCGAATATTACGAATTTGATTCCGTCCGTTCCCATCTTCCTTCTCGCCGTTAACAAAATTATGAATTTCTTAAAAAAAATTAATAATATTTTCCCACGTGTCTGCTTTTGTTGCTGACGTGGTCTCTCTCAGTCTCCCACGTAGCCAATCCCTCTCTTACACGTCACTCTTTAAATTTTTTTTTTTTAGCCTCAATTAATAAAATTCTCTCTTCATTTTCAACCATACTTTATTTTAATTCTAAGTTTGAAGTTTCGTTAATATCTTTAAATATTTTTAAATTTTAAAAAAATATTCTAATTATTTTAAAATTTTAATTAATACCTTCAAAAATAATTTTGTTCGTACTCTTTAAGGATTTTTTTAAAAAACATTATTAAACTTTCAAAACTTTTATTAATATCTTAAAATAGGTTTTAAAATTTTTTTAAAATTTTTTAAATTAATACTCTTAAAAAATTTATCATATTTTTTCTCTCTATTATTGAATATTCCTTTGATTTCTTCCTCATTGGTAAGTCTTTAAAATATATCTAATTTATATATATATATATATTTAAAATTTTGAAAGAGATTGAGAGGATATTTATAAAAAAAAAATAGAGAAATAAAATAAATAAATAAATTAGGAGAGAGAAAATAGTTATTTTTTTTAATTATTGTTATGAAAATTTAATATCATTATTGGAAACTTTAAAAAATTTATGGATATATTTAAAATAAAAAAAATAAAAAAATAATAGAAAGCGTAGGAGCGTTGATTTTAACCTCTTCTGTTTCGTCCTTAAAAATCCCTCCGTTCTGCCATTTCCGCCTCCTCTCCGCCGCCGCATCTTTTCCATTCCCCTTTCTTCTTCCTCCGAATATTCCCAATTCGGATCCCCAATTTTTGTTCCCAATTTTCTTTAAATCTCTCCCTGTTCTTCACTCTGTTCTAACCAGTTCTTAGCTTTGGAGGCTATGGAGGTTCCTGTAATTAACAGGTTAGGTGGCCTCGATTCCGACATGGCTTCCTTGCACAATCCCACACTCCTTCCCCAGATTTTCGCCTCCCGTTCTGGGTTTCAAACGATTTCACAATCCCTTCATCTCTGGCAATGGAGCGCCGTCATTATCGCCCTTCTTGCTACTTTCAGCGGCGTAATCAACCGGATTAAGCTTCTCCTCGTCGTTTTCCGGCGACAGAAACGTCTTCTTCAGGAAATTGTCGACGATTCCGACTCTGACGGCGATTTCTCTCTCGACGATTCTGCGAGCTCTGTTTCGTCGTGGTCGGAATTTGAGGAAGACGACGCCGACGAGACAGAGTCTTTGTCTTCCCGGAGTTGGGATTTGAGTGATCGGGATTTCCTCGTCAGGGGTTCCGATTATTTCTTAAACGATTCCGAAACGAAACGGACTTTGAGATTCCGTCACCGGTCAAGCTTCGACACCCAAGACGACGGCAACAACAACAACCAGTTCTCGTGGGCGGAACTCACCGGAGGTAAAAGCGTCGTGAAGTTATGGGATAATCTCAGCTTCCAATTCAACCACCGTCCTTCCGACGAGGGTATTTCCGGTAATTCATCCATTAACCTCTGGGACACGCGCGTTGGTTCGCAAATGCCGGCGTTAATCGCCGACTGGAAGTCGATGACCGGAAAAGTCTCCGGGGTTAAATTTACCGGAGATCGGAAGGTTTATATAAGTAACGAAGAGGCGAGGAGGATAACGGTCGGTGACGTGAGAAACGTTAAGTCACCGGTGGAGAATTTAACGGCGGCGGATGCGGAGACTTGGTTCGACGCCGACACGGTGATGAGTTG